TATTGCTTTTTTTTCTTTTTTTTCCTTTTTATCTCTGGCACATTTTTTGTGTAGATCAATGGAGAATATATGCCCTACTCGTTTTTTGAAACAATTAGCCGTTTTCAAATGTGTCAACGGGAATGGAAACTTAGACCGGGAACGCAAAATCAAATGAAAAACAATGAAGGATGACGTTCAAGAGAGACATGGCCCTAAAAGTAAAAGGAATTGACTATGTAAAGGTTTACATAAGGTGATAACTTCTTAATATAAAAGTAAAGTAAACCCCAAAAATTCATAACAAAGTTATTTCGATGCTGAAAGTTATCTATGGAATTGTATACAATGAGATCATTTATTCTTGATATAAGAGGTCAGAATCATCATTGACTGTTAGATTTGAAATCGGGTAGTTGAGGATGTGTCATTGTTTAGGCACCAAGTTTAAAATAAAAATTTTCAAATTTTGTGATACATTTTCTTTTCTATTGAATTTCACATCTAATGGCTAAAAATAATTGTCACCTCCTTGTATAAAAAGTAAATGGTTTCGTAGTATATAATCCCAATTGATAAATCTTAACCTCAAGATGTATAGATATGAAAATAAAAAATTTGAAATCATAAAATTAGTGTATCTTGTAACATATTATCAGGACCATCTGGTTTCAAAAATTTTAAGTGTTTATTGATATACTTGGTCGACATCAGTTTTGGAGCTTTAACTTTCATTGTTTAAGATTAACACTTTATGTAAACTAAGGGTGACAGTGGACCCGAGGAGTAGACCCAATCCAGATCCGAGTCTGGATATGGGTCCAAAAAATGAAATATACTTAAATCCAGTTAATTAATTTTTAAGTTGGGTTCGATGGATTAAGGTCCAGGACCCGACCCGACACGTTGCGACCCAAAATTTAAACCGCACCTCGAGTATTAGAAAACAAGAACCAAGGCCAGCCAAAATTTATCCTTCCCATTCAACTTGGGAGTGATGGGCCAAGTACATTGCTCACTCTCTTTCTCTCTCTCTCTTTCTCTCTCTTATAGGACCCACCATTTTTATTGGGCTGATCCCTTCAATTTATGCTTCGAATTTGAACAAGTGGCTAAATCCTGGCCTTCTTAAACTTGAGGTGGATAATCTTCAAAAGATATGTTACCTTTCATTGCTTAAAGAAAAGATTGCGTATGCTCTAGCAGAATAAAGTGTACACTCGGGTATGGACACCAATTTTGGATAAAAAAATTCGGATATAGGCTCAAAAGTCCAGTCCGAATTGAAATTCAGATTGGATTCGGGCGGGTCCAACCCGGATCTAGATATAAATCCAACCCAAGTTTTTTAAAAATAGTAAATTTATAGTTTATATAAGATTGCAAGCTTAAAATGTAGAACTACGGATGCACCTCAAAAATCCATTAGAAAAGGTTATTTTAATGTTGAAAAACCATGCGATCGATCATCGAGATGTATGACTATGAAAAATAAAAAGATTTTCAGTTTCAAAAATAGTGAATCTTACAACATATTATCCACACCGTTCATTTTCAAGATTTTCATATGTTATAGATCTACTTGATTTTAACCATCTTTTAAATTTAAAATTTTATAATTAAATATAAAAATAGATTTTGAGATAATCTTAAGAACATTTTACATCAAAATTATATATTATGATAAAATTTGAAGGCGCACTTTAGTTGGATTGTTTAAGGTTGCAACA